TAATAAAGCTAAAGAACAAGTGCGTGATTAATAGAATCTATCGCTACTGGTTGTGTAAGATAGAGAAATCTCAACCCTCGGACTAAGATTTTTTGTCCAGAACGAGGCTTGCCGCAAAAAATCTTAGTCCGAGGGTTGAGATTTCTCTATCTTACACAACCAGTAGCGATTGATTATTTTTCTCCCATATCTAACAGTATTTTAATGTGAAATAAAGGTAAACATGGACCCAAAACACATACAGGCAATTTGTTGATGGATTGTTGACTTGACGTCATTGTATTGTTGATAAGGGAATCCCCCCGTCTCAACCCTAGGGCGGAGACAGATAAATTTAGCACCGGCAAAACGGGAGATAAATCTGTCAGGTGTGGGAGAAAAAGGTGTCATTAACGGTGCATTATTGAAAATAGCATCACCGAAATAGAACAAGTGACGGATTTATGTGTCTTTAGCAGAGCATAACTGGCATCATAATATGCCTACATGTACATTAAAGGGGTCAAGCAAAAGTCTGAAAATCGGTAGTTTTTATATACGTTATATGTCAGTATTCAATTTTAGAATTAATTTAGTATATCTATATAGCAACATATTATATTTTTATTCAAAAAACTGTGTGGATTTATATCTTACACACCTAAAGCAATGCAACGTTGGGGCGTCACAGATGTGTTAACTATAATATCTGAGATAGCAAATAGTGCAAGCTATAGAAGATGTCATTGCATTTTACATAGATATATTGGGAGCACTCTAATTAATTATCATTTTATAAACTATCTGAGTAGTCCCAGACTTCTAGACAATTGAAATAAGATTGTTTTTAAATTGACAGATATTGGTGTTACGTCTAGTAACTAACCTATGTTTTTGGAAGAGAATGTCGAGATTAGGGGCTGGTTGTATACCACCGTTCACAGATTTAAGATTGTGAACAAACAGATAATAATGATATGCATCTACATAATTATCGCATTGGCTGGTAAAGAGAAGCACATACCTACCCATTCCTTAGTACATTATGTAGGGAACATAGTGTGGCATTTTATCGTTATCTGGGTTGCGGAAATCACCATGATGATCACATCTTCTCATTTAAAACTTTCCTCTCCAAGATTTTAAAGGTATCCATGCAGTTTCGAGATGACGAGAGGCGGGGGACACAACTCTGGCGGTATCTATCTGATCCCTGTCCACGGTTGTTGACAGGGTTCCACAACAATCCCATGCATAGAAGGTATCCGGGGGTTAGTCTTATGATTGACGTGTAAATCGTTTTTAATGTAGTCTTACTGACTTGATATGTTTCAGGGCAGTAACTTCAGAATAGGCCATACTAATAATTTGTTGAAACTGATCACGCCATTTTCAGATGCTGCTGAAAACAACCCAATGTGAAAATAGTCGGTGAAAGGAAGCCGTTCGTTTTTACAAGATTTGGTTTGGTTTAGTTTGATTTTGTTGAAAGTCCTATTAACAGCTAAGGTCATTTAAGAACGTGCCTCCATGTGTGTAGTGCATGGTTGCTTGCGTGTATGTATGCTTGCCTTCTTGTGATAGCGCGGATCTGATGCCTACTTTATAGTGCTATCCCACTGAAATACCATGCCGAAGGCACCCAGTACAGCATTCCGCCCGGTCACATTATACTGACAACGGGTGAACCAGTAGTTGCCATTCCCTTAAATGCTGAACGTTTAGCAGGGAATAACAATTACCATTTTTAAGGACGTTGGTATGTCCCGGCCTTGGGAAAAGAACCCATTGCCTTGGCGAACGCTCAACATTAAAGCCAAAAGTGAGGTATTGCCAACGAGGCGCTAGGAAATGCAAGGTAGTTAGAAGTAGAAAGAAAGATATAGATCCCAAATATTGCAATGGGTGCAGCAGATTGATTTTTGTCGCTTTTGCGGACACCAAAGCAAAGGATTGATTTGAATCAGTTGCTTTGAAAGTATACAGAACGACTTCCGTCTTTTTAGGATAGAACTATCCAGCTGTCTCCTAACTAATAAAGATACAAGATACAAGAAACTTTATATAACGTCGCATATAGGTAAACAAGGAGCATTAGCTCTTGAGAGCTATTATTGCGACAAACATATGTAAAATAACAAAAACATATTATATTACAAGTAAAGGGAGATAATCAAATATATTAATACAAAAACCAGTAATAATCATCACAGAAAAAGGAAGTATACATATCCCTGGTTTCTAAGTGATTGGGAGTCCACTACCTACAAAGGCCCCCGGGATATATATGTAAAAATAGTGTTAATATATGAAAAGCATTAAATGTGATCACAGATAAGTTGTATTCAGAATAAGTAAATAAAAGACATAGTTGATAAAGTCACTATTGCTTGGAACACAATCCAAAGCGGCCTGATTGCCAACGCTCCACTAAAGAGTTAATTATGGTCAGAACAATTGAAGAGGGAGAAACAATGAGGTAACATATTGGTATACAAATTCAAATTATTTTATTACATTGAGTCCGTATAAGCTACACATAAAAATAATACAAAAAAATAGCATGGTGTGCGGAACACTGCACATAGTGCCTCGGAGAATGGACATCGGTACACTTTACATTAATGATTTCCTCCTACTGGTTGAATCGTATAACTACTTTCTTAACAATTTTTTTTTTTTTAATATGTGTTGTATTTAAAAGCTGTACTAGTTTAAATACTGACGGGTTTTTCCAACATGGTAACCGTGTGGGTTAACCGTGCACACGTTCAATGTCACTATGACCGGGACGATAGATGGAATTGACATATCTAGACCGCACGCGACAGTGAAGGCTCGTAAAACACATCCTGACGAACAAAGAGGCCGGTCACATTTATAAGTCTGACGGTTCCCCCTCAATATCACTTATCTACTCTACACTCAGTTTTTTTTTTTTTATCATGACAGAATCAAAGTCACACTACGCGCCAGCTTGTGGATGATACTCGGTTTAGATAAGAAATTGTTGCGAAATCCTGCGTAGCTGTGATTTCAGACTAATGCTCTGATTAAAGATAAAAGTGAATTGCGCGACAGCGTATCGGTAAACATGACCGGCTTTGATATCGGAGTAACACTTTGGTAATCTTTAAAAATACGAGGACCACTATCTCTCAGTCCTGCGGTTCGTCAGTTTGTGACATGCAGTGTGTCTTTAGTAAATCCAAAGTACAGAGTAGATATGTATACATAGAGGGTAATCATTGGAAGATGTTAATGACATAAAACATGTACAGATTTACACGGGCTTGTGTAAGGATAGGGGTCGTAGTACATGCTTTATATATATATAATATATAGGTAAATACGACCCCTATACTTACACATGCCCATACATCGATGCCTTATGACCTAGCTAGTAACCAAGTGCTCAGTTTGCTTTAAGTTCAATTTCATTTTATTTTCATAACTTACATAATGTTAAGAAGATACATGTGATTATAACATCCAATGGTGTACATGCACAGTTAATTACCCAAGACAGCACGGTTACGCTTTTCTTTTACAAACAGTAATACATATATATATATATATATATATATATTTATCTTTCGAAAGATGTTTTTATATGGATGTAAGGTGTTGATCAAAATATCAATGTGAGTTGGTGTACTGTTATATATATAGATACATTTACACCATTTGGTACATTTTTGTATGTGTGCTGACTGTTTTACTTGTCTTCAGATTAGCATGTAATCATTTGAAGCTAATAGTGTACAACTGTACGTAATGACACTGTATCAGATGAATGGGAGAAGATGGAGCACGTATGTCGCCTAGTATGTCCGTATCCATCAACATGAACTATTTATGTTTGACCTTTGATGTGATAAGGTCATTTGTCTCGAGGTTCTAGTCTTGCTGTGTCTTTACGACAGTACGGTGCATGTTGTACACTCTCTATACATCTACGTGTGACACTACTTGTCAAGCTCAACAAGTCAACTGTATTCCGTCCTACGGTCATAACATTTTTGGCAGTCAAAACGGATGATGGTTTTTTTTTTATCACAACTTATGTGCGTACGGTTGATTTTGACTAAAGCGCATATATAGATAGCACATAAACATCCCTGTTAGACAACGTTGAAGGTCGATAACTTCTTTGTGTATAAATGCTGTATATGTCATTCATACAAATATAATACATATGTTTTAATATTTTTAAAGCGGTTATTCCAGTGCAACCTTTGGCAAATCTAAATTTCACTTTTACTATATCATAGTTAAAAATTAATAAGATCATCTTTAATGTAGCGAAAGAGGTTTCCAAAAAATCAATTATATTCATCAAGACCATAAATTAATAGTTCTCTCCCTTTAATTCTACTTAGATTAACAAAGCGGGTACCGTCGATGAAGCAGAAACGCTTACCCTTCCAGAGCACCTGGTCTTATACTCTTAGCACTTTTCCAATGTTCTCCACTTGATCTTTTCTTTGTTCATATTTTGCCATATCTTCGAATTACGTTTTTGTTGATTTTTTTTGTCGTTTGTTTGCTGATTTTTATTTATATATTTATTTCAGCGACTTGATTATAATTTATTTTTGATGATACAGATATGTGTGCATAACCACGGAATTAGATTACCTAAGTCCGTGGCATAACTAATCCGAGACATTTAAAGGTTTAATGATTTCAAATATAAAATACATTTATACAGATACTTTGATCGATGCCTATTATTTATTTTTAACTTAAAGCAATTTTATAAGTAACTTATGTTAGGCCTAATAAGTTATTTCGTTGTCCATAACCTCCTGTCTTATGGACATATATCTAGACCTGAGTAATGTCATTAGTAAGGATTATATATATATTATATAACGTACTGCGCTACAGGTCATTAACCTCTTGCTAACCCTAGGCCTGCACTGATCAATCGCCAGTCAAAGAATCGATGCCAAGATTCGTAGGTCATTCGCCGTTAGAGTAGTCTCCCCTCATTACCGATCACGTGATTAATATTTCCCGAACAAAAACAAACAGATAAACGGAGATGAGGTGAAACTGTTAATGTATTTTGTCGATAACTCGTCGTAATAAATTCTTAACATCAGATTTACGTGAGGTAAATCGGTAAGTATAACAGCTGTTGATAAATTTATTCCATTTGATTTTCGGTCAAACATTTATTTGCCTGTTAACTCATAAGCTTAGACGAGTTCACATCCTGTTATTTGGTTATATGACGAATTTCATTGTGTCATTTTTTTAAGCGGTCACTGTGACGATGACTGGGTTTACATCCGTGTTGCATAACTTTAAAAATATATATATATAGGGTTTTTTCTTGAACCAAGGGATGAATTCAATCAATATGTATCTTCGATATAGTAACAAATGACCACAGGTATTTGTTTATTATTGTTGTTGTCCTATAATATATATATAGCTACATCGCGACATATGGTCTAATGGTGACAAACAGCTTTGCTGTCCTATCTTTGTTTCCAAACATGATATGCCTTGATATGACCTCGTAATAATGTTTTAACAAGTCTTCAAAATTGTAGATTTAGTGTCACACACTGGTTAAAACTGGTTAATTTCGTGGATTAAAAATTAAGATATGTACAGATAAGTCAGATTGAAAAAAACTCACAGCAAGGTTTAGAGAAAGCTTATTGGGATGGGTGATCGAAGTTCATCCACAGTATTGGCCTAGACAATAGAGGCAGGTAAAGAATCCCATTCAATAACTGCATGCTTGAAACAAGGGTTGGTCACAGGCACCTCTGTAAAAGGAGAGGAAAAATGCATGACCAGATTCATGGGGTTCGAGCCCTGGACCCCCCAAACTCTATGCGAACGCTCTACCAAATGAGCTACCTGGTTGTCCATGACTCAGTCCAATTCCACTACATTTATAGCTGTCTGTACCGATATATGTCTGCAGGAGAATACATTTTGGCTTGAGCTTGTGACAATGGAGGAGGAGTGAACCAGCAACTACTGCCGGTTCCGGGTTGTTTCGCCCCAAATCCCGTTCGCCCTAGGTTGTTTCGCGCCAGGTTGTTTCGCCCTAAAACATTTTTTTTAGGGCGAAACATTGTTTGGTATTTTCTTTTCATTTTTATTTGTTTTAAGTCACAAATTAAGTCTTCTTAGTCTTTCATATCATTAAAATCAGTTTTATTTTTAAAAAAAAAGGGGGTTTGTGTGGTTTTAAGTACATTGTAAAGTAAAAAACGGATTACGTTATTTTCTTAACGCCGACACACATTATAACATATATTTAATTTAATTTTAGAAATAAGTAAGAATTGTGAAATGAAACAAAAATGGTGTAATTTTAAAAATTGCGAGGTATACAACAATATTATTTTCCATGTTAACACATTTAAATTAGTGTAGTGTACGGCTGTACGCATACTCGTCGCTGTGTGACGATGTTTTCTTTACCTGATTTCTGCACACGTCCGTGTTGTTTTTTGCTAATTGGAGATTATGTCCATATTGAGAAGTTTTGATAGTACCACGGAATTAGATTTAAGTCCGTGATAGTACCGACAAATAAAAATTCATATGCATATTTGAGTAGATAATTTTGAGTAGGTAACTTGTCATAAATAGAGCATTTCTCAATACTGTGTTATAATTCAACATTAGTAATGGTGAGTTATAACACAGTACTGAGAAATGCTCTATTTATAACAAGTTACAAAATGCACAAATCATCCATAACGTAATTTACGCAGACAGCATGGTATCTGAAGTGATGTGTGTGACTGTTGGCAGCATAGAACCTGGCAGCATAGAACCTGCCAGACTGGCAAGTACATTATTATACAAGTATATTTAATGTATTTTGATAATTCCCTAAGTAAATTGCAACGTTTATTTCATAATTCAAATGTACACATCTGCTTAACAATTAAAATGCGTATCTATGTACTTGGGGAATTATTTACATTTTATATACGTCTCTAGAGAAAGTATTATTTTTTTTTCATCCTTATACGCAATTAATATACGTATGTAGTTTCAGTCTATATACGCAATTTGTAACTAATATATGTCCATTTCGTATACGTATCTATGAACTTAGAGAAATTAATTTAGTTTCATTATATGTCCATATCTTATCTATATATTATAAGTATTGTACTTAGAGAAATTAATTTAGTTTCATTATATCATAATATCCATATCTTATCTATATATCATAGATATATATAATTAAAGTATTTTTTTTTTATTCTTATACGCAATTTGTACCTAATCTTTGTCCATTTCGTATATGTATCTATGTACTAAGAGAAATTTGTTTTATATAAAATGGCTGACGTGACAGGGTGATTTTTTGAATTGTTTATATCATGTTTTAAATATTTTTAACGTTAAAATATATACAGGTGCATTTTATAAAGAACAACATTACTTAATTAAGGTAGGAAATGAAAACGATAATATACAGTATATTCCAGATATTAGTATGTCCGTTGTAGGATTCGGTGATGAATATACAGGTTCGTTCTTCACCTTCCGGCACGTAATTATATCTTGATTCAAGAGAAAGATATTTTTTTTAAACTTTTAACATGATATTTATGACTTAAAGAAAAATATATTTTTTAGGGCGAAACAACCTGGGGCGAACGGGATTTGGGGCGAAACAACCCTTAGGGCGAACGGGATTTGGGGCGAAACAACCCGTTACCCTACTGACATATATAGTGTGTTATCGTTAACCTGTTCCAGCCACTGAGTTAATACGGTTGTGAGCTCCGGTAATGTGATCAGGATTAATCATTGATGTTGTAATTATGTTGTTATGTAATATTGTGTGTAGAGAGCAGTATGTTGGCATTTTATACAGTAGTAACCATGTAATTAGATTAACTATCTAAGTCTGTGGCAGAGGTCAAGCTCTAGGCATGATTGTCTACAAGTTTGGTTTCTTATGTTTATTGAACAGCCTTTGGTGTAGCATATATTGGCACCAACCCGTCTGTCAACATCTGGCTTGCCCACAAGTTCCTGATAAATTGTTAACCAAAGTTCATGAAACGTCATACAAATATATACTTACAAAAGTAATAATCTCTCGAAACAAGATAATTGAATACCAATGTCATACTTTCATGGTCAAGTTCACAGTAACAGAATCTTTGCATGATGATGGGAAAATTGCTTATATGCAATTTACAAATGCCTACTGCTTATATACTAACCAGTCCCAATTTCTGTACTTAGTCAAAAACCAGTGACACATCAAATGTATATAGGCTAAATTATAGCACATAGCTAATCTTGTGTAGCATAGATTAGTGTTTATGACTGGTTATTAACATATTGTGACAGTGTGTTTTGTGGGGGAATACGACACACACATGTACCAGGTTTCTATTTAGGATTTTTCTCCAAAGAGAATAGTGTGCTTCCAACGGGGATTGATCCCTCGATCTCCAGGTTCCTAGTCGGACGTTCTACTTACTGAGCTAAAAGGAAACTCCCTGTACGTAGCTCAAAGCTAACATGAGACCATAATCTATTTTAGCTATGTATAATTAAAATCTGCCACACAACTCCCCCCTTTTTAAATGTGTTCTCCCTCAAACGCCACAACCCAGGTTCTAACTCCCTGTCATCACAGGGATGGCCACAGACACCATTTGTAACAGGAAAGAGAATAGCGTGATTCCACCAGGGATCAAACCCTCCATCTCAAGGTTCCTAGTCAGATGCTCTACCACTGAGCTAAAGGAAAATTTCCTCTAGCTCGAAGCTAAAAGGCGACCGTAATCATACGTACAATTAAAATCTGCCACACTACCTATATTAGTTTTTAGGCTAAATCCTGATACAAGTACATCTTGATTGACATATATGCATGTTCATCATTATCTCACTGTTTTATAATGTTGTAGGTGAAGAACCAGGATGTCATGCCTGCTGACAACGTGTGGAGACACAGTCCATTACAACCAGGTACCCCTGGACGACTACTGCGACGATTCAACAGAATCAGTAAAAAGGGAGACAACTCATTCAAGAGATCAACTGACCTGTATACAAAAATTAAACTGTAATCTGTCGCGTCAAAACAACTGCACCTGTTGTAACAAGAAAATAGGGAAGTGTTGTGAAGCGTCTGTTATAGGATTGTTCGTTTCTATAGCACTGTTGATCATTACTCCAGCAATATGTGCCGCACTGTTTTACTACAGCTTGTTTGTACTACAGCCCACCCTTGTTATAGACAAGTCCATCCACGCCTTCACAATCCCAAACCATCCTGCCTCCTTAAACTATGATGCGTTTAAAGTGGCGACACAACACAACAGCAGCCGGCATTCCATTCCCTATGGACGCTGTGACAGCCTCTTCTCTGGTCGGCACAGGAGGTCCGTCCAATCAGGGAGAGAAAATCTTAAATTGGTGCAAGATCAATCAATCAGCCATATGTCAAATCGTAAAACATCAGAGGATTTGTCAAAACAATCACTGGCAACGCATAATATTTTACGTAGTTTATCAAAACGGTCAGCTTCAGATTCTGACTCATTCAGCATCCTGTCACGTGTTCAGTACCATGCTCAGTGGAAAATGCAGGTTGTTTTCATGGCTAAAGGGGAGGAGGATGGCAACGTCTTCACAAGGGAGAGACTGGAAATGATTCATGATATTGAACAAAGGATTATCAGCCATCCAGATTTCTATCATTTCTGTCTAAAAGACTACACTATAGCTCATATGGATCCTGCTGTCAGGGCCCAGAACTCCTGTGCTCCTCTCAATTCTCTCATGTCTTTCTTTTATCCTTCGCTAGATGATCAAAATAGACCTCTCTTTGACGGACTTGGTAAGACACTCATAAAAAATATTAGTGAAGGTTTACAATGGGCTTTCACCTCAGACAAATCCTACTACTTTGTGGATCCACATGTTAATAAAACATTTCACAAAAGCCGTTTTCTGAGGACGGAAGTGAAGTTTGGAACACCTCTTCAGGGATATAATTCACCGTATTTTGAGATCAAGCAACAATCAGAAAAGTTCAAAGCATTTGTTGTTACCTACATTGATCTGCTGTCCAAGTTATCAAATAAGTAAGTTCATGGTCTTGGTGTAAATTTGTGACATCTTATACATAATTAGCTACAGGTCCCATATATATGTCAGATGATCTAAAATTTAGAAATTTAGAAATAATCAGACCACAGCTAATGACATGAACGTTTTTCAAAACGCCTGATATTTGTGATGGTGACAAAATTTTATCCAGTAACTTAATTCAATAAAAATGCAGCATTTGGTGCATTTATTTTAAAATATTGAAAATTGACAATTGTGAAATTTTCATTAGTCTTATTAATATTAAATTCAATTTTTCTGATAAGAACAGATGACATCCAAGTAAAGAAAACAAATTATAGGTCTAAAAATACCTGCATAAAGGTGAAAACCAATCTAACTGGCAGTTTCCTTTTAATATTATTGAAGCAATATAATATTGGGAATGTAACGTAAAAATACCTCTTTTATATGTTGTGATGATGGTGAATTTGTAAAGACATATTAAGGAATATATGTTTTCTTTTCCCCCCAGTAAATTACAGGTACTGTATGGAGGTACAGAGATCTTTGACTACCAGGTAGACAGTACGTTTTGGAACGACGTGAAAATGGCCTATATCACCATGATCTGTATTTGTGTCATCATGATGATGTTGACGTTCTCCGTGTGGCTCACCTTCTGGGGCGTGGCTAGCATTGTCATGTGCTTCCCGCTGGCTCTGTTCCTGTACCGGTTTGTGTTTGGGATCTCGGCTCTAGGTATCCTCAATGGGGTAGCTGCCTTTGTCATCATAGGAATAGGTAAGATATTGTTAACAGCATACTCATTTATTATTTCAGGCATGTCCCAAACGTGCAGTATGAAATTTCCTTCAGTCTCCAGTAGTTTTAAAACTTTAAAAGAAAACAAATGTTAGATTTAAGACCGTCTTGCAATGGTTTGTGATATATGTACATGTACAGTACAGTAAACTAACTTACTGGTATGTTCCATTCTATCAGGGCCAGTGGGTTAAATGAAAAGCCAGTAACAACAATAAGTATAAATTGAAAGTTCATAACTGACTGCGTTGGTGCGAATTGCTGTGAAAATGGCAATGAAGTGGTATTAAGTTTGAAAACAAAATGATCAAATAATTTCAATCATGTTATATAACATTAAAGTGTTTCCATACTGAAATTAAAATCTTCTGTTTTAGGAGTGGATGATGTGTTTGTATTCGTGAACATTTTCCGTCAGTCAAGCGGACAAAAAAGTGTCTCAAAAAGAATCCGTCACACAATGCTGACTGCAGGCAAAGCCACATTCTTCACATCATTTACCACAACAGCTGCCTTCGCTGCTAACGTGTTCTCTTCAGTAAGTTACTCACCTCTATAACCGGGGCCGTAATAGAAAGTAAGAACAGACACACTACTTCAGATAAGTTGGTAGAGAACTTGTACTTGGAAACTTTTATATCTATCACCTAGAAGTTATCTCCCTTTATCATTAATTGCCTTGAACAAAAAATCCATATATTATATATCTTACCTGTGAATGAAGGGAGACAGAAATACTGTATTAGTAATGTACTTGTCCTAATATTATTTTGTGCAGGCTTTAGTTTTTGAGTTGTTGGTTGAATTTGTTTATTGTCCTATCAACAGCTAAATAATAAAGGTCATTTAAGGACGTGTCTCCATGTGTGATGTGTATACGTGCATATTTGTATGTGTGCTGGAGGCAGGGTATGTAGTTTTTGACGACAACTATTTTTAAGCACCACGATTGTTACAATATATTTGTGTGAACTGACAACATATATAGAATAAAGTGTACTGATCATGACTATATGGTTACACTGTGTTTGTTTTTACAACAGATCCCTGCTGTACACCAGTTTGGCCTGTTTATGTCACTTATCGTTTCCTGTTGCTGGGTTACCGTGATGCTCATCATGCCCCCCGCACTCTATATATGGGCGCTATCTATCTACAAATGTGAAGAGGCCGTTGCCAGACTGTGAGTCATCAAATGTTGTATAAATTCTCTTTAAAAACAGATGTAAATTATCCTGTAACCTTGTTTGCAGTATTTCCTTTTAAGTGCAGTCAAGACCTTATGAGATGAATATAGTGTATTGTGTATAGATGTTCCAAATAGCAGTCTATATATATGTGACATTAAAGGAGGTCATTAATAATAGACAAACATGTTCACTTGTGTATAAATTCTGCTTTCCTTGACATATAAAACATATACAAGGTCCATTGATACTCACTGCAGTATATACAAAAGAACCGTTAAATATAATGTTATATCACAGTCTTGAAATGTATTTATGTTTAAGTAAAGATAATAAGCAATAATGAAGGATGATAACTCTGATCTAAACGGCCTATAGATTTTGTCCGACCTATTTGCTTTGAAATGGATTAGTAGAAATTTAACAGACCTGGACATTTCTTGGTTGTTAGTTTTGGTTTTATTAACCCTTTCACCCCTATGTAACTTTAGTAGACTCCACCTTGCATTGATCTGGATGAGTCCATTATGGTCTGCAGTGGTGAAAGGGTCAATACAATCTTTATTTGACATTACAGACAGCAACCTGATTACAGTATAATTAAATACATTTGTAATGAACCCCATAAAATTTGCTCACTACAAGCATGATTTGTAATGAAGTTTGATGCATTTAGTTGACCAAAAACATCTGCCTGTGTTATAGACATAAATTCAGTGTGTTAATGATAAACTAGTTCTGAAACAGTGAAACTTCATATGGAGTTCATCCATTGGGTCAAGATTTAGTAGAAACTTTGAACAGTCATACAGTATGTACAAAATATGTACATCTCTGACTGCGTTTTCACTCTCATGACAGTTTCACTGAGGCTAGCTAGTGTCACAGTCAGCAGAAAAAGCTAAAAAGTGATTAGCCATTTCTGTGTCAAAATATATTGTTGTTTCTGCTGTTCTTTGTAATTAGAAAGCAAAATATAGATAGGATACTCCAGAACGTGTCCCATTGAATATTACATATTTCTTGCTTCTAGAATATCACGATGTCTAGGTCGGTCAAAGAGTGCACTCTCAGCCAAGCTGTGCCTTCCCGCCGATATAGCCCGCTTTGTGAGGGGACAGACCCAAGATAACACCAGTCCCCCCTCTTGGACCTGTGGGCAGGACAGCCCTGTTGAAGTTGCAGACTCCCCAGATGAGGATGACGTCCCCTTGTTAATGATGGACGACCCTATGCAGGAGTATTTTGGTAGGAACATTAAACTCAGAAGACATGGTCCATAACATGTGTGCATTCATGTGTTTATTCTCGAGTTAAACCTTGTAACCGTAAATAGAGAAATTTACAATTCAACACCGGATGAACTTGTTTTAAAAAGCTTGAGCGTGAAACAATTTCGAGGTGAAAATGATTGATTGACAATGTGCAGGAAGGACCTAATTCTAGACATAACCATCACTTCGGATATTCGGATATCTTGAACAAGGGGTCGGGCTTATTACCCTGCCTGATCTTATTGTGAAATCTGTTTTAAAAAATGCTTGAGCTGTATAAGATGGGTACCCGGTGGACTTGTTATACATAATAACTGGTAAAAATCTATACTACAAGAGGTGTATAAGATGGGTACCCGGTGGACTTGTTACTGGTAAAAATCTATACTACAAGAGCTGTTTAAGATGGGTACCCGGTGGACTTGTTACTGGTAAAAATCTATACTACAAGAGGTGTATAAGATGGGTACCCGGTGGACTTGTTACTGGTAAAAATATATACTACTAGAGCTGTATAAGATGGGTACCCAGTGAACTTGTTACTGGTAAAAATCTATACTACAAGAGGTGTATAAGATAGATACCCAGTGAACTTGTTACTGGTAAAAATCTATACTGCATTACAAGAGCTGTATAAGATGGGTACCCAGTGAACTTGTTACTGGTAAAAATCTATACTACAAGAGGTGTATAAGATGGGTACCCGTTGGACTTGTTACTGGTAAAAATCTATACTACAAGAGGAGTATAAGATGGGTACCCGGTGGACTTGTTACTGGTAAAAATATATACTACTAGAGGTGGGATTATTACCAGGCATTTTTTATTGATAAAGGTCATATTATTCTTTTATCTTTAAGCCTAATTGTTTAGGAACAGGCTTGTTGAATTTCAGTTACATCTTAAACTTAATTGACTTTAATTACGATAGCTATAAATGTTATCAACAAATTTTGTACTAAGAACCAAAAGGAAAGGATGTCGGTATGTTCCTCTCCTTTTCCCAGCAGTACTAGTGTATTCATTAAAATAAAAATGAGAAATTATTGAAAATAATTTTATCATAAATTAAATGTTTGACATACATAAGTTATTGAAATACAGATATACTGATACAAATAGACATTTAAAAATTAATCCTGATGAACAGTGTACAATATGTTCCCTTTAACACTGAATTGTCATAAATAATAAATGCTAATCAATTGTTTCATTAATAAGAGATATATGTGACTCATTGTTCCCATTTATAAGAGAGAGAGATATATGTGAATCATTGTTCCCATTTATAAGAGAGAGAGAGAGATATATGTGAATCATTGGTCCCATTTATAAGAGAGAGAGAGATATATGTGAATCATTGTTCCCATTTATAAGAGAGAGAGATATATGTGAATCATTGTTCCCATTTATAAGAGAGAGAGATATGTGAAACAATCTTCTAGAAAAATAGTAATCGTTGATTATATACAAGTTTTGCAATTCACTTTTCCAGATGCAATTGATGATGATGATGAAGCTTTGCTGGATGCTACCTTAAAGCTAGATGATCAGAAAGAAGATTTACTTTTCAGCAAGATGTTGCAAGGTTTCACCTTTCACGGTATAGCACGTCCTGTAACACACATACGCAGGGGTGTATTAGGTAGGCATGACAAAGGTTTAATGCATATTCCCGGTCGGAAAAATAAGCTTATTTGTTGCCATTTAAGTAAAGAGTTGGTTTGAATATTGGCATTTGATTATATTGAGCAAAATTTTAAAGAAAAACAGGAATTAATTCCTGAAATGAAACTTTGAAGTTTGGCACTGAGAAAGTTAAGTGCTTTACAAGAGGAATTTATTTTTCTATATTTTAACTTTTTGCTAAAGCAACACAAAAGAAATAATTCACTGTCCTTAATAGAAAAAGAAAATAAGAAATCAGGTTTTATATAGCTGAATAAGGAATTAGTACATTTCAAAAAATCTTTATCAGGTCAAATTTCTATAAACACTTAATTTTTTCTAACCTGATCATATGAATTAATGCCCTGTCCCTGATGATGCTGGGTTTGTCTATAGACTATAGAGATTATATTGCCCTCCTGACTCATATTACAGTTCTGTCCCTGGTGGTCCTGTGTGTGTCAGTAGGCCTGATGGTCCAGCTTACTCCTGCCACACGACCCCCGCAATTGTTCCAATCTGACACCAACCTGCAGATGTTACTTGACCTGAAAAGCAACCTCAGCGTAGACACAATCTTCTGTCCACGATGTTCAGCTATATACAGCGTATGTATCTTTCTATTTCATCTCTGATGTCTGATCCTTCTGATGAATGTACTGTATTTGTTTTTCAATAGTCCCCCTCCAATATTACCAGAGGGTACTACAGTATGTATATGTTTTTCAATAGTCCCCCTCCGATATTACCAGAGGGTACTACAGTATGTATATGTTTGCACCCTGTCCATCCATCCGACCATCCATGAGTATGTGAACACCTCTTGGGACAGTAGAGTGTTGCATGCAAAATTGTCCAACTATATGCAAAGTTTCTTTCCTTTTTCGCTATACAAAACACAAAACTTAGTCTGGGGCGTATATTGTATATTTGTATACAAAACTTAGTCTGGGGCGTATATTGTATATTTGTAAATGAATACTTTTTGAAATGATCGAGTGTTGTATGCTGAAATTAGGTTTCCTGACCCACTTTGTAAAGAGCTATACAGACCCTTCGTTCTATTTCGACACCATGGTTTGTCAGGGACTGTGGATTAGTTGCAAAACTTTGCATTGTCTTATCAACTTGCTCTGTCAGTGTGGTAATTACTTGATGGATATTCAGTAGAATTTTACAGTCATTCATTACTTTACATTTGAGGAAAACACGGACACCAAATTTGTTTATTTCTATTCATTGTATTTAAGTACATTTTGTTATCAAAATTATCTATTGTTATTTTCCTTGGACAACTGTGAGAATAATCAAACAACCCCTTGTGAATTTCTGCTAAATATCTATTGAACAATTGTTAAAAAGCTAGTCCATACAGGGATACATGCTTTGATTATAGTTGTGTAGTTCAAGTGTCTGCCCTCCCTTGGTAATTAGTCATAATGAAATCAAGTTATAAGGTAGTTACTTGTGATACTTTTTTGTCAGTTTTATCAAAAATACTTTTGAATGACTATGTTCCTCAAATGTTAAATGACATATCCCTGGTTATTGGCTTATGTCTGGTGAAATACAGTGATAAAATATTTTAAAAACTTTGGTTAAAAAGATTATCTCATAGCACGGAAAGCCTGTTGAATTGCAGAAAACTTAACTTTAGAACATTTGGGAGGACATGTGAAACTTCAGAATATATGTGTGGTAAGCATACAATTTTTAGAGTTCAGAAATTTTGTGATATTGCTTGGTCTACTGTTATTTCTAGATAGTTGAACCCTCTCCTGATGCTAGGTGTATATAGCAGTCAAATCTCTACTTAGTGCAGTTAGAGTAAGACCTCATTACAGTGTTATTTTATAGATACTTTTTATTTCTGGGGTTTTCTGATTGATTGTCTCGTTTAATTTGTCTACATCAATTTAGTGTTTTATATTTGCATGTGAAACAAAAGGAATAACAGCAGTTGAAAAAGTACCTCGTTAAACACACTGCTGGTCTATAAACATTTCAATTGTATCTATATATATGCCTCACATCCATGCTTTGTAGATGAATCCTGCTTATAATCGAAAACGCCCCAACCGTCCTTCGCACAGGTCTCATCCTGTGGTCACCCCCCATATTACTACGGCGCATGTGACTGTCCCACCATTACAGTCTACAACTAAAGGTAGGTTTCTGTATAGGGATCACACCCTACATCTCTACCACACATGTGACTGTCCCATCCCTACAGTCTACAACTAAAGGTAGGTTTCTGTATAGGGATCACATCCCACATTCACTACGACACATGTGACTGTCCCATCCCTACAGTCTACAACTTAAGGTAGGTTTCTGTATAGGGATCACACCCCACATTACTACGACACATGTGACTGTCCCATCCCTACAGTCTACAACTAAAGGTAGGTTTCTGTATAGGGATCACACCCCACATTACTACGACACATGTGACTGTCCCATCCCTACAGTCTACAACTAAAGATAGGTTTCTGTATAGTGATCACACCTAACATCACTATGCTGATGTGTCAGGATTTAGTTACATGTCGTGGAAAAAAAGAAAAGAAAACACTTCAGGGCTACAGGCTAATGTAGAAGTTTCTTGTCACAATGTCTCTGATTTCACAATGTGTTTGGAGTTATCAGCTTAAAACATTGTTTTGTTTCTCATTTCAGAAGTTAAGCCTCCAATAGTAAAGACCAGGAAACCCACTCCTAAAACGATAACTTCACCAAAGTCTCCACCTGTAACACGTAGACCGAGACCAAGCACACCTAAGCCAGTAGTACCTAACACAGACGCTGCTCTCCACTGGACTCCTGGTCCTCCCCGATCAAGTGTGCCCGTCAAAGGTCAAGGGCCAGAAGGTGTCAGTGTGTGCCAAGGGCATGACTGCTCTAACACCAAGGACCGTCCCATGTTAGAGAGCGGTGCCGTTGTACATGTGGTGTTCGGGATCAAAGGCATAGACAGAAGTAACGTCCCTGTTGGTCATGTTCTTGACCAAACTCAGGTATATAGATACATGTGTATAGAGTAAATAGATTTCAGAACTATCGCAAATATAAAAACAGTAGTTTAGTCATTCTTTGTAAATCATTCTTAGCATAAATATTCACAATAGTTTCAGTGTATATGTGGGCCAACTTTTAAAATTCCAACTGTTTCGGAATCAGGAACACTTTTTAAGATTAATATTCAGACTTTAAAAAAAGAGGTAATGACTGATAATGTTTGAGGAATGGATCATTATCGTAAAGGTTATGTGACAGTAGCACCTGAACCTATGAGTATCCTAACACATCACATTGTTCAGGCACTGTAGATTTTCATATTTTTGTTTCAGGGAACAGTAGATTTTGATTCCAAGTTTAGCAAGTTTTTCTCGTTTGATGAGGATCTCCTTAGCGCGATAGACGGTATAAAGACTCTGTGTCGGATCTGTCAACGTATCGCCAATGAGAGTAGTCTTGTCCGCAAGGGCAGTGCCCAATGTTTCCCTCCTCATAGTAAGTAGCTGTGATCTATATCTTTGTCTTGCATACCTGGTAGCTCTTCGGTAGCAAAATCTAATTTTTTAAACTTTCTCTCAGCAATCAAATTTAGCATAAGCTATGACATGCAAGTAAAGACAAGAGCTTTCCAAACATTCATGGTCCTTTTACATGATTTTATGATAGCTAATGAATATTCAATAGTGTATTATTCAATGTGTAGGCAGCATTCCTGCAAAAAAGACAGACTCACTAAAATTCAAAATTATAGACATAAATCTTATAAAACTGAATCTTCTAGTGTGACACTGTCAAACTCATTGATACATATCATTAATTTATTAACATGAACTAATGATGTAATGTTTATTGTTAGGTATCACAAGTATAAAATACACTGAAGCTATAAGTACAAAATTTCTTTATTAAGATTTCCCAAAGAAGCCCACTGTTTAGATGAATCCAGCCGATTATATCAATGTACAATAGAACCTTCATCTGAGCTTGTTGCTCTTTACATAATGTAAATATTTTATTAGATAATGATATTAATCTTGGTACATTTATTGTGTGTAGTGGCCTGTCTGGACGAGATACCTGAGTGTCGTGACCTCCAGCAGACCCAGTCCGTGTATGGTCGCCAGGCACCAGCCCACTACGCTGGGGGTCTCACAGCCAACAAAACAGGGCTACTCTGGTGGGCATTTGCATTCGAGTCTGTAAGTATCATCAACTTCAAAACTTGTTGACATCAGACATGAAATCTAGAATTAGAGCCTTAATTCACTAACTTCCACAGGTGACAATGTCCTTCATTCATAAAGCTTTGAGTTTTTTTAATCTTCAGGTTTCATCAACTTCCACAATTTTAAAATCTGGAATTAAACAATTAGCATTTGTGGTATATATTTAAAATCCTTGGTGATACTCTCATTGGAGTAGGTGTTGTTATTAGGTTAAGAACGGTATTTGAATCTTTGGTAGAATCAGCTTCCACAGGTGTAATGCATCAGAAAAGCATAAAGTCAGCAATGTTGTAAATGTTCAGACATGTTGAGAGTACAGGATTCTGATCAAATGCGTTATTACAGTAGGAAATGTTTTTTTCAACTTCAGACCACTCCAAAAGGAATTTCGTACTTTGAAGCATACAAGCATTATCTGAAATGGGAGACTCTGATTGAGGACATAAAATCCTCAGAACATAAGCATATAGAAGTGCTGGATTCCATGTTTCAGACGTCACAGTTCTGGACAAAGGTGAGGACGTACACAGTTATGATTAGGTAGAAAATAGGTTTGCTGTACTTCAAAAGAATCTATAAATATTCTCCTAAACACACAAATTTAGAAAAACTATCAATTGTATACACCGTATTAGAAATTAAAGGAGTTATAGAGATGTTTTTATAGTTTTTCCTGATTTTAATTTATTCATACTCATGAGCCTGTTTTTTGTCTTACCCAAGAGTAGTGCATTATCAAATTGACACAGGAAGTACATATACTGTACCTAAAAATGCAATACATATGAATATGAACATCTGCGGTCGTGTTCCAGGTACTGATGGAAGTGGTGGCGGTAAACAGTGCCATCTATGGGCTGGTGCTGTCTATGGTGGTGTGTATGGTTGCCGTGGCGCTGTTTACTGGACATGTGCTGCTGCTCTTCATCGTATTCATATGTATACTGCGTGAGTAAACTTCATGTTAGTGACATGAATACTTAAACGGTGAACTTTATTGATGTGACATTTACAGTCTATATGAATGACATAAGTTTGTGGGCAATCATCTTAATATGCGCTAAGCATTAAGGTTTGTTTCAATGAATGTTATTATCATTTTTGGAATATTTCAATTTAGAAATTAAAATGTGCTTATAAGAATTTAACATAGATATCAGATATGTATGTATTATATATGTATACTAGTTCAATGTAGAACAACCATTCTCCATTGAGTGTTGGGGGTATCCAACAAATTGCATTAACATGTGGGCCATGGCATTTATAGCCTAAGTGAATGCCGTCGGAAGTTGATAGGTTATATAGTGGAGAAGCCATACAGTAATAATTATCGTCCATTGGACTGCAGTATTGTAGACACAGATCTTGCAGACAGCAGGTTATAGTTGTGTCTTTGAGTGAGACACCTGACTCTTATTTAACTCCAGCACCCCACCTACACAGAGTGGAGTACATTACCATATTTAATATGGTAGTACAGAAGTGGGATGTATATTTAAGTGGTGTGGCACTAGAAAACAGCTGTTGAATCTTTATACCTGGTATACATGCACACAATTATGAAGATACAAAAAGAGGGATCATAATGTTATAAAGACGTATTGAGTTTAAGTTGCTTCAACACTACTCTGATTGTGTTAAATGTATAATCCTTGAGATAAAGTCACTTAACAAATTGTTAACTACTTTTGATAAATACTGTGTGACGTTAACTTATCTTAGATTTACTGTTTTGGGACTATACACCCTATCTTACAGAAATGATTTGTCTGGTAGTGGGTGTGTTTTACATGGCTGGCTGGGAGATGGGTGGAGTAGAGGCCATCTCACTCTCTATACTAGTCGGCTCCTCGGTGGATTACTGTGTACATCTGGTGGAGGGATACCTGCTGGCAGGGAAGGCACTCCCCCAGGACCACAAACAGGTCAGTCACTCAGGGGCAGAAATGTATAATCAAGAGTTATCTCCCATAATGTTGCTACATTACACATATCCAGTAACTGATTTTTTGGGGTTACCTCCTTTAAAGAATTATGATATATTGTACCTATGATTTATGTTATACAGCCTGATAATGTGTGCCTAGTCGTTTTTACTGAAGTGCTTCATTTTAGCATTTTGTCAGACAAAGACTGTTTCAATTTATGACATCACTGTTTTATATGTTGTTATTGTTCATCATTAAATAAAACAAATTTGAGCAGTTTCCCTTTCTTCATTTTAACACTATGTCCTTTCTCATCAGTCGGCCTCTTCTGCTCGACGCTGGAGAACTAAAGCAGCTATAACACACATTGGCGTGTCCATCCTGTCAAGTGCACTGACAACGATTGTGGCTGCTATCCCCCTGACCCAGACTATCATCAAGCCGTTCGCCAAGTTTGGTCAGATCGTAGCCATCAACACCTCTGTATCTATTGTGTATTCACTCACCGTCTGCTCGGCCTTCCTAGCAACCATTGCCCCCGGTTACTTCATCCCTACCTGGAAGTCACACTTGAAAGCCCTTGCAGGGACCGTCCTCGTCTTGGGTGCAACTGTCCTGTCTCTGTATGGGGCTGCAAAGGCTGGGGTTTTTATCCCCGGCCCTAATGGGGAAGCACTTTTCCCAAACTAACAGACAATTCATATCCGAGAGTGTGAAGTAAGGAGATATGTAGAAAAGTAGTTGTAATGTAATGATGATGTGAGTATGTTACACAGCCTTGCTTGTTTAAGGCGCGCTGCTACATATTTCGTACAGTGAAAATATTTGGACAAGACTGTGTTTACATGTCGGCGAGCAATATCATGCATATCATAATAGTTTTGGTCCGGATGTATCTATCAGGATTGGAACAGTGTAATAAACAGGACGACTGTATTCTATAAAATAATCACACTTTTATTTATCTACATGTATTGCCCTGTGTGTAATGTATGACTTCAGGTTTTTCATTTTATCTGTATTTCCCTAACCTTGGTCTTTTATATTACAAAGATAAAATAAACACTTTTTTAAATACCCTTTAATTTAATTTTTAAATTTAACTAATCTCACACAGTTACACTAGTGGGGCACATTCTCAGGAATTTAAAAAATAAATTTATATAAATTTCTACATAGGTTTCAAGCCTACAAAATGTTAGCATTTACAGTATTGAACAAAGTAGCATTTACAGTATTGAACAAAGTAATACAGGTATCTATAATAACTATTTACATATATATATCAGACTTGCTAAAATCCTAATAAGAGCGAGTGCTTTGGTGTCCAGAGTAAGGTAGTTAATGGTTCTGTCTGACCTCATTTCTTTTAATGCTCTCAGTTCGTGAGGTGTTAGTTACTAGTATAAAAAGTTTGTAAGCAAAGCAGTCTCACCTTTAGTGCTGTCCAAATAGTGTTGTCTGAGGGGCTGATTGTTCTCGGTATTTTATCAAGGGGGATAATCCATACAGTCAGGTCAGTTTCTATTAATCATTTAAATAACAGTATTCTCTTTTTCTGTGATAAGGTTAGGTCAGTCTGTCTTGATGTTTTTGATCTTCCAAAGATCAGTCTCTTTCCTATCTAAATGTTAGTGATACTGGTGATGCATGGATTGAAAAACATATACATGTATTTTTTCTTCATTTCGGGGAAGTAGGACACTTTCAATCAATGATGATAGCATTAGTGATGTTTTCTATTATTTATAACTTAATTATACTATCAACTAGCAAGTGTTATTTTGTCAATCAAAGGCCACAATCATCACTGTCTTTCATTTTTCTAAGAAGTGTTTCTGAGTGTAAGAGTGATAATTACTTACTTTGCCATCTTCAAATATATATTTTTTAAGTATTTCTGCACTGTTATTCCATGTTGCCACCTTCTATTTCCTATTAAAATCATTACAAATAAAGTTATGGGTAATATTTTATAAACAGATGTTATATTACTTTAAAGAATTTTTAAAAAATAGGTTGAAAAATAAATGTAAAAGTGATTTTGCTTCTAGCAGAAAACGGTTTCGTTTCCTCATTTGCCTTTTAACAAGAACTTCAGAAAACACTACATTCTTTCAAAAAGAATAAAGAGAGAAAAGGAGGAATGTGGATTTCTATGCTTAGTTCTCCCTAATACATCATTTAAGTCACAGCTAAATATCTAGTGAGAGCCCTGCACCATGTGATGGTATTTTAACAATTAAAGCACATTTATCAGAAAAAAACTAAAGTTAAAAACACTAAGCCTTTTTCAGTTCCTCTATGATATAAACAATTCCGATTTAATCAGTTCCTCAATGATTTAAACAAAAATATATCTTCTCATTTTAACTGCATGTTTCACTTTTATGTATTGACTTCTGATAATTATAGATGATAATGTTGTAATTATCGAATTCTATACCATGATTTAGAGCATGATGGTATTAGGATCATCCTCGTTTACTGTGATAAGTTACATTTACTTGTTATGTATTGACATAATTTTGATTATCATGATTGTATATTTTGATGTGTTTTCTGTACTTCGTGTTTTTTAACTAAATGATATCCTACAGTGCTGTTTATTCTGCAATTTTTAAACAAGGCTAAACAGGTTATTTTTATATGTACTTTAGCATTAAAGAATGACATTTTGAAAATGTAACATGAAGTAAATTAATAAGATTTGTAATATGGGTGAGAGGTTGTTTCGCTACTGGTCATTAACAATAGGTTGACCGCTACTGGTCATTAACGATAGGTTGACCGCTACTGGTCAGGAGGTTGTCTGCTCGTAGTCAAAAGGTTGTCTTTACTTAGTTGTCAGTGGGATGTCTTTAATATTGGTCACTGGGATGTCTACAATATTGGTCAGTGGGATGTCTACAATATTGGTCAGTAGGATGTCTACAATATTGGTCAGTAGGATGTATTCACTAGTGGTCATTGGGTTGTCCATTCTAGTGGTCATTGGGTTGTCCATTCTAGTGGTCAGTGGGTTATCCATTCTAGTGGTCAGTGGGTTGTCCATTCTAGTGGTCATTGGGTTGTCCATTCTAGTGGTCAGTGGGTTGTCCATTCTAGTGGTCAGTATGTTGTCTATTCTAGTTGTCAGTGGGTTGTCTATTCTATTTGTCAGTGGGTTGTCTATTCTAGTGGTCAGTGGGCTGTCTACACTAGTAGTGGTCACCAGAATGTCAGTACCAGTGATCACTGTCTTATCTACCATTGGTCAGTAGGATATCTTACTTGACTTATACTTGTACAGTATGATGCTTTGACTATATTGATTTACACATGTTCTGAACTTGGACATCATTCTCAGTTCTCAGAATTAGATTGGAGTTTAGAGCTGGAAATAAAACACTTAATGAACAACAAAAATACTTATTATCAATGTTTTAGGGAAGTGTTGAATTAATAAATTTCCAAGTTTAGAACATTCTTACAGTTACAAGAGGTTGAATGTTGACATGATAGTCACTAGCATCATGACAAAGATCAAACACACCCCTTGTTTGTTGTGTCTTGTCTGATCTGTATTACAGGTGTGCAGTTATAAAACTCTGAAATTATTTTACATCATGTAAACTTTTGCACTGCATCAATATCCCACTCCTGTTGGTCATACTGGAGACAACCTACTAACGGCACCCATGATAAAGCCAGGGTCAAGGTTCAGACTGCTGGTTTTACAGATGCTGTTGTACCTGGAAATATTTGTGTATATATGAGTGATCCCCAAATTGACATCCCATGTTAAAGCTTATGTAACCCAAACTTACTGGAAGTAAAGCGTGGAAAGATTCTTATTGCCGTTTAACTACTTACATTTGTTTATACCGTTCTGCTTGCATTTTTCCTTTTTTAATTTATAAAGTTTCTTCACTGTTGGACCTATGTTACTACTGATTTACAGAGGATATCAGTTAGTATGTGATAATGAAATACTTAAAACATTCCAGAAATAAGTGAAAAACTCTTCTTTACGAAATGAAATGATATACTTATTTGCATTTTTTGCTGATTAATGATTTAATTGGAAATTCATCAAACGTTCACCATAATTTTTTTCATAAAACATGTTTATAAATCAATTATGATTTTACTGAAAAGTTTCTTGTAGATTTTTATTATGTATGACTAGATGTAGATTTTTATTATGTATGATTAGATGTAGATTTTGATAACTTTTTTTGCAGGATTTGTCTCTTGATGAAGTAAGTTTATTTCTGAGTATTTCTGATGTAAGATTCTTTTATACGGATGTAATTAATTAGTCTTGTATACTAAGGTTTTAATTAGTCTCGTATACTGATGTAATTAATTAGTATTGTATACTTAGGTAATTAATTAGTCTTGTATACTGATGTAATTAATTAGTCTTGTATACTGATGTAATTAATTTGTCTTATTTGCTGATGTAATTAATTAGTCTTATATGCTGATGTAATTAATTAGTATTGTATGATGATGTAATTAATTAGTCTTGTATGCTGATATAATTAACTAGTATTGTATACTGATGTACTTAATTAGTCTCAGTGATTAGATCCTTACACAGGAGTGAGGCAGTATTACATCAATGATAAATTACCGATCAATTCTCAGCTTTTACTTTAGTTATCCATGTCAATCGAATGTTAATGTTGTACTTGATGTCATTATTGGCCGGAAATCAAGGTCTTTACAGAAAGAAATCTGAGTTTTGTTTTGATAAGACGACAATTTGAATGTCACTTTACACATACAACTAAATTCTACAGGAGTTCTCTACCCAAATAGTGCAATTTTATTATAAGTGATAACATAGTCTTGTTCATTACTTGCCAGGGAGTCTGGTAGCTATATATAGATGACACAGTGTTGATGGTAGATGTTAGTTAATGATGGTCATCATAATGATAAGGTTGAATGGTAGATGGTCGTTATAATGATAATGTTGAACGTAAGATGGTCAAAAAATGATAGGGTTGAACAATAGATGGTCGTAATAATGATTGCATTGAATGGTAGATGGTCGTTAGAATGATAAAGTTGAACGATAGATGGTTGTAATAATGATAGGGTGAACGATAGATGGTTGTAATAATGATAGCATTGAACGGTAAATGGTCGTTATAATGATAAAGTTGAACGATAGATGGTTGTAATAATGATAGGGTTGAACGATAGATGGTTGTAATAATGATAGGGTTGAACGATAGATGGTCGTAATAATGATAAGGTTGATTGATGGAGTGTTGTAATGACATTAGCGTTGAACGATAGATGGTCGTATTAATGATAAGGTTGAAGGATATATGGTCGTAATAATAATAGGGTTGAACGATAGATGGTCGTAATAATGAATGGGCTGAACGGTAGATGGTCGTATTAATGATAGAGTTGAAGGATAGATGGTCGTAATAATGATAGGGTTGAAGGATAGATGGTCGTAAGAATGATAGGGCTGAACGGTAGATGGTCGTTAGAATGATAGGGCTGAACGGTAGATGGTTGTAATAATGATAGGGCTGAACGGTAGATGGTTGTATTAATGATAGGGTTGAAGGATGGATGGTCGTAATAATGATAGGGTTGAACAATAGATGGTCGTTATAATGATAAGGTTGAACGATAGATTGTTGTAAGGATATAAGCGTTGAACGATAGATGGTCGTATTAATGATAAGGTTGAAGGATAGATGGTCGTAATAATAATAGGGTTGAACGATAGATGGTCGTAATAATAAATGGGCTGAACGGTAGATGGTCGTATTAATGATAGAGTTGAAGGATAGATGATCGTAATAATGATAGGGTTGAAGGATAGATGGTCGTAATAATGATAGGGTTGAAGGATAGATGGTCGTAATAATGATAGGGTTGAACGGTAGATGGTTGTAATAATGATAGGGCTGAACGGTAGATGGTTGTAATAATGATAGGGTTGAAGGATAGATGGTCGTAATAATGATAGGGTTGAAGGATAGATGGTCGTAATAATGATAGGGTTGAACGATAGATGGTCGTAATAATGATAGGGTTGAATGGTAGATGGTCTTAAATCGTGTCTAACAGTAGTTATAATTCTGTATAACAGAAGTTTGTAGTTACTAATTGTGAGACTGGAGTAACGAACACGGAATAATACACAGTGCAATGTAGCTATATAGTCTTAGATATGCTTTCAGTGTCAGGAATCTGAGATTTAATTGATTGGAAGTATTACTTAGATAAATAGATTTGATCTTACACATAGCAGCATCAAAGGAAGGTTTGGGTAGAAATACCTGTGATTTTATCCTCATATAACTTACCTGTTTGTTTGACTGTTCTTGATTTTGAAGTCTGGTGCTGCTTTGTATTTATGAATGTTTTTCATTTAACTAGAAATCTCTTAATTATCAATGTATTTTATTTAAATAGAAATCTCTTAATTATCAATGTATTTTATTTAAATAAAAATCTCTTAATTATCAATGTATTTTATTTGATTTGAAATCTCTAGTTTTGCTGCTAGAGTGTACTTATTACAGATTTTACATGTGTCAGTGATGTTATTGGTCTGTTTTGTCCGTTACTTTATTTTGGGGACAGTTTTATTTCCAGAGCTTTGACATTTTTTTATTGAGGGGTATTTTCTAACCCTGAACAGGTGTATGCACACTTTTCCTGGTGCGAGATTTATAGAATCCTTCACCTCCTTTGCTTACAGAGTATTTTGCAGCTTAAAGTTTTTCCCTGTGGTTTGAGTAGTCCAATCTTACCCCAGGGGCAACCCCGCATCTCAACCTTAGGGTGAAACAAGAATATATCACACAGGGAAAAGTTTGGATACACCTGGCCAAGTTAAGAGAAATACTTGTTTTACCCTCGCGTTGAGACTAGGGAATCTGTTTTACTCTCGGGTTAAGATGAGGGGAATCTGTTTTACCCTCGGGTTGAGCCGAGGGGAATCTGTTTCAGCCTAGGGTTGAGACAAGAGGAATCCCTGTTCTACCATACGGTTGAGACGAGGGAAATCCCTGTTTTACCCTAGGGTTAAGACGAGAGGAATCTCTGTTTTACCCTCGGGTTGAGACGAGGGGAATCTCTGTTTTACCCTCGGGTTGAGACGAGGGGAATCTGTATTACCCCTGGGTTGAGGCAAGGGGAATTTCTGTTTTACCCTCGGGTTGAGACGAGGGGAATCCCGTTTTACCCTCGGGTTGTGATGAGGGGAATCTGTTTTACTCTCGGGTTGAGATGAGGGAAACCTGTTTTACCTTCAGGTTGATACGAGGAAAATCTGTTTTACCCTAGGTTTGAGACGAGGGGAATCTGTTTTACCCTTGGGTTAAAACGAGGGGAATCTGTTTTACCCTCGGGTTGAGACGAGGGGAATCTGTTTTACCCTAGGGTTGAGACGAGGGAAATGTTTTTCCTTAGGGTTGAGACAAGGGAAATCTGTTTTATCCTCGGGTTGAGACGAGGGGAATCTGTTTTACCCTCAGGTTGAGATAAGGGGGATATGTTTTACCCTCGGGTTGAGACGGGGGGAATCTGTTTTATCCCCGGGTTGAGACGAGGGGAATCTGTTTTATCCTAGGGTTGAGACGAGGGGAATCTGTTTCACCCTAGGGTTGAGACGAGGGGAATCTGTTTTATCCTCGGGTTGAGACGAGGGGAATCTGTTTTACCCTTGGGTTGAGATGAGGGAAATCTGTTTTTCCTTAGGGTTGAGACAAGGGAAATCTGTTTTATCCTCGGGTTGAGACGAGGGGAATCTGTTTTACCCTCAGGTTGAGATAAGGGGGATATGTTTTACCCTCGGGTTGAGACGGGGGGAATCTGTTTTATCCCCGGGTTGAGACGAGGGGAATCTGTTTTATCCTAGGGTTGAGACTAGGGGAATCTGTTTCACCCTAGGGTTGAGACGAGGGGAATCTGTTTTACCCTCGGGTTGAGACGAGGGTAACTGTTTTACCCTAGGGTCGAGACGAGGGAAATATGTTTTAGCCTAGGGTTGAGACGAGGGGAATCTGTTTAACCTCGGGTTGAGACGAGGGGAATCTGTTTTATCCTAGGGTTGAGACGAGTGAAATCTGTTTTAGCCTAGGGTTGAGACGAGGGGAATCTGTTTCAGCCTAGGGTTGAGACGAGGGGAATCTCTGTTTTAGCCTCGGGTTGAGATGAGGGTAAACTCTGTTTTACCCTAGGGTTGAGACGAGGGGAATCTGTTTTACTCTCGGGTTAAGACGAGGGGAATCTCTGTTTTACCCTCGGGTTGAGATGAGGGTAATCTCTGTTTTACCCTAGGGTTGAGACGAGAGGAATCAGTTTTACTCTCGGGTTAAGATGAGGGGAATCTGTTTTACCCTCGGGTTGAGCCGAGGGGAATCTGTTTCAGCCTAGGGTTGAGACAAGAGGAATCCCTGTTCTACCATACGGTTGAGACGAGGGAAATCCCTGTTTTACCCTAGGGTTAAGACGAGAGGAATATCTGTTTTACCCTCGGGTTGAGACGAGGGGAATCTCTGTTTTACCCTCGGGTTGAGACGAGGGAAATCTCTGTTTTACCCTCGGGTTGAGATGAGGGAAATCTCTAAGAAGGTGGAAGATTTTATTATTCTCTCATGAGCAACAGAAATTTACTAGTGCATCAATTAAGTCATTAATGTTTGCTTTGATTTTTCTATTCAATTGTCATATTTATTTATCAAAAATGCATAAGGTTGACCTTCTTGGGTCTTCTTGTTTTTGTTACAACCATTCTGGTATGCTTTCATTAATTTTATTTTAGAATCTCGTCGAATTCGCTTGTCACAAATGGTGTGAATGAATA